AGAGAGAGAGAGAGAGAGAGAGAGAGAGAGGAAGAAATTAAAAGAGGAGACAGATCTGTTGCAGACACGAAACACAGCAGAGGGGCATATAATAGAAGTGTCCGTTTGTAGGAGAGAAGCATGCATATGATTAATTATATGTCTTTTTCACTTAATTAAAAAAAGATTACACATTTTGAAAAAAAAAAATTATTCTTGAAAACTTGCAATGAGATACTCCATAAAAAGTTCCAACCTTTGAATCTACACGGCTTGGTTTTTATTGTAATCTTGTACGAAATTTAAAAAATAGTCGTTGGCATTTATTTTATTTTTTCTTGTTTTTTGGTGTCTGGTTCTTGGCCGTAATATGAATGTACAATTTTAAAAAACTTCATTTTATGACCAAGAAAAAAACTATATGACATAATTCGGATTAGTAATGTATATTTTTTTCTCATGAAGTATGGTTAAAGAAGAAGAGATGTCAACTCAAGCTAGTCAAATCTTTCAAGTCATTAAAATCAGAATAATCCAAAGCAATGGCATCCCACATTTTTCTTTGGTTATATGATTGGCTCATTGGTGGATTCTACCGTTTTGAATGCTTGGAAATATCCATTAAAATATTCTTACTACATTAATTTCAATTAATGACAAAAAAAAAACTACATTAATGATAATCATTTGTATTCACTCACAAAAATTATGGTAAAAGGATTAAGAGATGTCCACTCAAGCTAAGCCATATCTATCTACTCATAAAACAGTAATAATCCAAAGTAAGTAATTACCATATTATTTTTTTCTTTTTGGTGAAGAAGTAATTACCATATTCTTTGTGGAAGCTCTTTAATGTATAAATCTTCTTTTGTTTAGGTTAAGGTTTCTACTTGCAACCATTTCAAAAATGGATATGTCTCATCAATTCTAATATATAATCACAGTTAACAATCATTAAATGATCGAGATGAATAGTGTTTACGTAAGGCACGGACCAACAAAAATTGTTTTTCTAAATGTGGCGGAACAAAAGAAAATTCTATGAGAAATGGTTTCTATCTCAAGTAAGATTCCATATAGTTTCCATTATGAAAATATATGTACTTACTACTTAGTGTGTTTTGTTGCCAAAACTTGCAATTAGACAAGAAATAGGATACGACAAAACAAAAAACCTCCGGAGATAACTATTGCGGTCAACGTCCGATCACGTGCGAACATTGTGACTGAGATGATCATTACAAAACTTTTTAAAGTACTTTCTACTACTTTTGTTATTTTTATATATCATGGAGGTTTATACCCTAAATATTTCTAAAACCACATTCGTTATCTGATATATAGTTAAACTAATCATAATTCATAACTAACTACTAGCTATAGATCTCACAATTAGTTCATAATTCGATATAGAAGGAAAATAAAAACAGCTTCAAACCATTTTCAAAGAAATTGAATACTAATCAACAACACAAGTGAAGTAGCTAGGCATAGGATTCGGAATTTCGGATAAAAATAATAAATGGAAGAGGGTATATAGAGTAGCATGGATGGACCACCACCGATTTGGATATTGGAAATTAGTAATATAGTTTTGTCCAAGGGAAGGCCAGATCACGTGTCTTTCGCGAGACGCATTGAGACATTTCACATTTTGTTTTTACAACAATGAAACATATATCTCAACATGGCTTCATGTATTTATGTGTGTACATATCTCTCTATATAGTCATCTACCTATTCATGTATTTATGTTTATATCTACTCATCTACCTATGCTATATGCGTTATGGGCAAAAGATTGAATTTAACTCTCTCTGTGTGTATTTCTGCTTTCACTTTTCAAGGCAATAGTTAAAAAGAGCTTAGTTAGAGTACCTTACAACTTTATTTTGGAACCAAAATCACATTTTAAGTGAAACATTAGGATGGTCCCAAAAAAAACAAAAGTTAAGTTTGATCGCAGCTTGCTATACAAAAGAAAGTCATATCACACTATTGGACTCTTCTCTATCACTAGTTAATAACGTTGTTCACATTATTTTTGGTTGCATATACTTATATAATAGTCATTATATATATATAGAGACAGATTTGGGTGAAGCTAGTGTGGATGCTTTAAATTTATCAACTACTTTGGAAAAAGTTGAAAATCGATCGGCACGGCTCGTGAACAAGATTTGTATTGATTTAAGTTTCAAGTACAAACGATCATGATTTTGACAACATATCAAACCAATTTGATTAAAGTGATAGTTATGAGAAGCATTGTTCCTTACTAACTCTATTAATCCACTATAACTTAAAAGATCATGCATAAAAGAGAAGTTTAAATATAAGGAAGACAAATTAGGAATGTGAAATGAAACAAGTAGACTACTTATTAGGTTTCGCCTAATTATTATGGCGGGGATGAAATGCACACTGCACCTAAGAACGAGGTATTTCGTAGGTTCCAAAATACAATGAACTAAATAAAAAAAGGTCACTTCATATTAGAGACCATCTCTGACACATTAAATTTTAACGTTTTATTGTGGAAAGTTTTTTGATTCTCGAGCCCAAACTGAAGCTTTATCTAACACTTGGAACTTGTATAAGAGTGGAGAATCTTTTATCTCTAGAAGAAGATAGACTCATTTTATATACTAATACTACTAGCTAGCTAGCTCTAGTTTACTTTGTTATAGCCCCTATAATAATTCTAAATTTCTAACTGCAAATACTGTATGTGAAAAATAAGATTATGCATGGAATGGTAACAATAAGTGATATGAATAGTGTTCTTAGTGTCAGAAGTCATATGAATCTGATGAGCTGCAAAATATTTCAGATGGGAATTATAGGCAAACCAAATTAAGAACCTAATCACGTGCCCGCCATTGCTATTTTGCGGCGGCCCATTGCTATTTTGCTAGGCTCCACGTACGTGCCAGCCTTGAATTTTAAAACAAAACGAAGACCACACAGAAACCAAATACGTAGTTCCCTTGCACATACATCACATGTGCTTTTCTGCTAATGTGGTTTGGTAAAAGCCTAGTACTTAATAAGTTTAATATCTCCCAAAAATGCTTTCTAGACTGAAATCAAAAGTCAAAAGTTGAAGCTAAGAAAGCCCACTACTATTACATACTACTAATTCATGGGATCATAGTAGTTTATGGATACTATACTTGTATATCTCAATTTCTTGTTTCAAACAACATGTTTGTATTTACCATTTTATGTGGTTATTTGAATAAAGAATATAGAAAGAAAATATTTGGATGTCTCTTGTTCTCAGGTAACACAAAATTTTTAAACTTTTGTTTGTTAAAGAAATATGATATTTATTTTTACATTTCCAGATAATTTACAAGAGCGTCTGTAGTCCAACGGTTAGGATAATTGCCTTCCAAGCAATAGACCCGGGTTCGACTCCCGGCAGACGCAGTTATTTTTTGATTTTTTGTTTCTCTTCGAACTAAAACGGTGTCGTTTCGATTTAATAAGTATTACCGGAACTACCGTACCGGTTATGTAAACCGGAATAACAACACGTTGAGACTTCCCCACGTGTGTGGTGTACAATCTCTATCTATTACACAGCACAAAAATCACTATAACGCTTTTGAGATTTTTTCCTGAAAATCTTTTCGAGTGTTGTTGAATTGAGAAAATGGAGGTTTCGTCTTCACTGAAGCTCCCATCTTCGTTATCATCTCCTTCCATCGTCAACCTTCAGGTTACTTTTAAACCAATTTCTCATTTTTTATACTTTGCTCTGTTCTTGTTCTTATTATATTCGTTTCATTTCTGAACTTGGGTTCGCAATTTCATAACAAATTCGAAGACTTTACTGTTGATACTATACATTTCTGGTTAAAAAAATTGTTCCTTTCAGGGTTCTTCATCAAGTATTTATGTAAAGTTCTCTAAGTACAACACTCCACTTCCTAAACCGTTTCTTCAACTTGATGATAGAAGCCGACCTCTTCGTGACCAGCAAGCTTCACATTCCCTCATTCTAAGGTCATATAGAAATAGGGTCACTGCGAAATCAGGCTCTCAAGGTTGGGACTTTGGTAGGTTCGTCAAGACATTGTACTTCTTCAACGGACCACCATCTCCATTGAAGGTAACGTATGAGTGTTTGTTTGATTCTCATTGTGGTGTGATATAGTCATGTGGGGTTAACTGATTGCTTTTCTTGCTTGTGAAGTTTGTTTCATCGGTGTTTGAGAAACTTACTAACGGATCTACTGAGGAACCAGTTAAGGAAATGGAAACTACTGGAATCATACTTGTGGCTGGAGCTACTGGTGGTGTAGGAAGAAGGGTTGTTGATATCTTGAGGAAGAAAGGGTTGCCTGTTAAAGCTTTGGTACTAAACCTTTTTCATAGACTTTGTAAACTAACTATTCTATAATTGGACTAACCTAAAAAAGAATATAAAAAAATCAATCATTAATGATGACCTTCCATAGATTCACCTAGATGTTAGGACCTGACATTGACTTGGTGAGAAATTTTACAGAAAGTTTCCACATTTTGTTTCTTGGTGTC